AAAAAAAAAAAAAAAAAAAAAAAAAAAAGGAGAAGAAATAGAGCATGTTGATGAATAAAGAGGCAAGGTGTTAAGTCGTCACTATGTGAGCCTTCAAGTGTAGACTTGGATTCAAATCTTGACTCTACCCTGCCTGAGTGTTAAATTATAGGCAAATTACTTAGTCTCATCAGACTTAACTGACTTATCTGTGAATACGAATGATGCTGCCATCACCTCAGCATTAAGAATTAACCAAGAGGGTGTCTGAAAGCCTTTGGCCCACGTGCCGGGCATGCAGACAGCTCAACCGGTGACTGCCAAAAAAAAAAAAAAAAAAAAAAAAAAAAAAAAAAAAAAAAAAAAAAAAAAAAAAAAAACCCAACAAACCCTCAAAAAAAAAAAGAAGAAAGAAATGGAGTCTCACCATGTTGCCCAGGCTAAAAAAGACAGTAAATTTCGGTAAACAAATAAAAGATGTTAATTAGTACCTGTTACTTGACAATACAATACTTTAAAAACTGTACACATTTTTTTTTAAAGACAAACCGAAGCCGGAGTGCAGTGGCATGATCTTGGCTCACTTCACCTTCCGCCTCCCAGGTTCAACCAATTCTCTTGCCTCAGCCTCCGAGTAGCTGGGATTACCGGAGTCTGCCACCAAGCCTGGCTCATTTTTGTATTTTTTGTAGAGATGGAGTTTCACCATGTTGGCAAGGCTGGTCTTGAACTCCTGACCTCAAGTGATGTGCCTGCCCCAGGCTCCTAAATTGCTAGGATTACAGGTGTGAGCCACTGCACCCCGCCTATACTTAGTTTTTAATGAAAGAAGTATTTTATCCTAGAGATGGTGGGTAAAAATGTCTCAATCCATGGAGGCTGGTATACATTCACTGTTGGTATGGTATCTTATGATACTGTCACAGAGATGCTGCATTTAAAAAGCACTGAAATAAATAGGATTACTTCTTGGTAACCTAAGGGGTAGATGAAATTAAATCAAGGGGTAACTAACAGGTTCCCTACTGCTGTATTACAAATTGTAGTAGGTTGGCTGGGTGTGGTGGCTCACGCCTATAATCCTAGCACTTTGGGAGGCTGAGTCGGGCATATCATGAAGTCAGGAGTTTGAGACCAGCTTGACCATGGTGAAACCATTCTCTACTAAAAAAGCAAAAATTAGCCGGCATGGTGGTGCACACCTGTAATACCAGCTACTCAGGAGGCTGAGGCAGGAGAATCGCTTGAACCTGGGAGGCAGAGGTTGTAGTGAGCCAAGATCGTACCACTGCACTCCAGCCTGGGCGACAGAGCAAGACTCTGTCTC